TCTGTGAATGTTGTTTTATGAGATTAACCTTACACTTCCAGTACTTACTATCTTGATAACGACTTAAAAGGGGATTTTAGTACAAATGATTTTTTTCATCAATGGTCGTAGTTTTATAATTATAAAATGAATGTTTTTATTAATTTATTAGTCAATCACTCATTCTAAGCGGTTATTAATTTTAGTTTATTACTAATTAACTCGATGATTCTTTATGAATCAATATCAATTAATCACTGGCTTGTCGCCGGCCTGCTGGCCGTCGTTCCTCGTCCAACGTTCATCGCTGGCCGATCTGCGTATTGCCCGAGTTCGTGCCGCCAGCGGAGGGAGCTCGGGGTTGGGTCGAAACTCGAGGGAGAGGCGCAGAAAAGATCGTTCCCTGCCGCTGATTTGTGTGCTGACTGGTAGTTGTTGACCTCATTCAGTGCCACCACCACATCATCGGATAGCTACCGTGCGCGGTACACGTCGGAGTAGGCGCCAAAACTGACTCGTGGAAGTGAGAGAAACAAGGTGGTGGACGGTGGGTTTGCCATTTTTGTTGGAGGTTGTGGGTGAGGGGTTAAAATAGATAGGGCTTTTAGGGATTGGATTTTGGTGGTGAGTGAGTTTTAAGATTTTGATGGGTAAATTGATCGGTTTGATGAGTGGTTTTGGTGATGTTGTTCTTAGTTTGTGGTGTTTGTGAATTGTGTGATGGGTTTTTTCAAAAGAAGAACCCATGAAAAATGGTGTGGATTTGATGACTTTGGTGAGGTAGTGAGAAGTGTTTTTTTTTTAATTTTTTTTTTTTATGAGATTTTGAGGGTATTTTTGTCTTTTAAATTTTTTAAAAAAAGCACATGGTAACATGTGAGATTTTGCTATAAATTTAATGCATTTAGGCGGAAAAAAATTTAAAATCAGTTTAGTTTACTTCGTTAATTCAAATTAAAATATAATTTTATATGAGAATTTTTTATTATAATAAAAATATTAAATTTAACTGTTTTTTAAAATTTTTTATTATAATAAAACTTAAATTGAGACTTTAATTATACAAATTCAATAACTTTAGAGATTATTTTATTAAAATTAAAAGAACATGCACCAAACTGTTAAAAGGAAAAATTATATATGTATAAGTCTCAACAATTGCAGAATTTTCCCAACTCGGTTTCTGTCGGCAACAAAAACCCAGACTCAAATTCAATCTCAAACGAAAACGACATTGTCCTCGTCTTCCTCGTCACAGGAGCTGAAATCACGAGTATTCTCTTCGACGGCCGTGCGAAACCGTCCTTCTTCCAATGGCGGCACGAATCCAGCCCTCCTCCGACAGCGGAGTGAACCCACCCCTCACGGAACCTTCCCCCTAAAGGCGATGCGATCTCCTCCCCACCGGCGTGAGCTCTTCCACTGCCATCCCCCATCTCATCCTTCATGTGAATCTTGGCTTTAAAAGGAAAAGGGAAAAAAAAAAAAAAAAAGGAAAAGCAACAGAACGATGTAGAAATGGCGATTGTGGTTCTTGAGGTTGCGGTGAACAAGGATTTGTCTGCGGAGCCTTGAAAGGAGAAAAATGATGAACATTGTTAAGGAATATCTTTTTCATTCATAATTAAAAAAAAACGCTACGTGGGGCCCATTTATTTTTCAAATGTCAGAGGAGCCCAATCTTTTGCTATGATGTGGTGCGGTATAAGATTATATAATATACCAACTAATGAAAGTGGAGTCAAATCTGGTGGTCAAAAAAATAACTAGTAGTACCAGAGAAGGACCCGATAAAGAAAACTGGAAAATTTGCGATTTTGCTCATATTTGGTCATATAGAGGAGAGGAGGCGCTCGCGAGAGAGTGAGAAGGAGAAAGGAATCTGGATAGCCATGGCGGAACCTCCAAAGCTCTTCACCAATAAACCCAAAAAGGGTAAATACTTTTTTTTTTCCTTTTTCCCTTAAACCCCAGCAAGAAAACGAATATTTTTCTTGGTTTCAATGATTATCGCATTTCGTCATTGATCCGTTTACTGTTACTTTGAATTCATTCAGCGCAACTGAAACAATTTCAAGATCAGAAAGCGAAGGACTTTTCTTCACCATTGTCGTCATCGTCGTCATCAACGGGAAGTCAGCCTCCCCCTCCGCCTCAGCCACCAAAAGAGTCATTTGCTCGGCGTTACAAATTCCTCTGGCCCATGCTTCTCACCGTTAATATCGCTGTCGGAGGTCTTCCCTTTCTCTTCTCTTTCTCCTCATCTATCTTTTTTACTTTTATTTATTTATCTATTCTGCCCCACTTTTTTACTTGCAGTTCTTCATGCTGAAACGGCTAGTTTGTTTTTTGAAATTTATGGTCTTTTTTTTTTTTTCATTTTTTTTTTTTTTTTTTTTTTTTTTTGAAGTTCTATTAGTTCTGGATTTCGTGATACTCATCAATCTAGTGAAAAATCTTTTATGTGCATTTTTTTGGGGGGTGTGGATTTTGTTGTTAGAGGTTAGATGAACATTTCCTATCTCCTCGGCTGTTTGTCCTAAGTTTGCTATTATGTAGTTAGTTATTTTAATTCTTGATCATTAACATCTCCGAAGAGTGGGAACAGGGTATAGGATAAGATGTTAGGGATCTAATAGCTAGTTAGTTAGTTCTGTGGCTTTGTTAGTTGTTTATATTGTTTCTATAGTGTTTAGTAGTATAAATAGTGGGGTTTTGGGCTGGAGAGGGCTTATGATGAGATTTGTGAAGAGTGTCTAGTGCTGTGCGATACCTTGGAGGTTGGGGGTCCTCGAAACCGCCCATTCTATTATGTAATTTTCCATTTTTAGTGTTGTAAATGAAGTTAAGATTTCTGGGTTTCTAACAATGTTCACTGAAACAGATTGCATTTCTGAATCTGGCATGAAAAATTTATTTACTTTTGCGGTGTATATGACTGGTTATCTAAATTTGAAAGCCCAATCAAGAGTCAAGTGGAGAACCACTTGACAATTTTACTTTCAAGAGAGAGAGAGAAAAAAAAAATCATAACATTAATCACGTAATGAGTGGATGAAATAGAAAGACAAATTCTTTGGTTTTGATTTTGAAGTCCTTTCTACAGTAAATGATGCCATGATAAATTGGGATTTTTGTGCTTTGGAAAGAAGTTCTACTTTTATTTATAGCAAAAAGAGAAGTAGAAGCAGGAAGCAAGTTAAAAATATTAGCTTCTCTAAACAACTATAGAAGAAGTTCTACTTTTACTTATAGCAAAAAGAGAAGGTGCGGATGTTAAATGTTCATAAGACGTTATCTATTTGTGCTGCTACTCTTGTCTACCAAAATTGATAACTTGAAAGTGATTATTTTTAGCTGTTGAATGTTCATAGTTTGTGTTGAAGCATTTTCTTCTTATTCATGAAATAAATCTACAGCCGTCTGTCAGGTTCAATGGAACTCCTTTTTCCTTGCCTGCAATTTTCTACCTGAAAATACACGGGAATGCTTTTGCCAAAGGTGAAGCAGAAAGAGGTTAATGTAGATTCGTAAAATTTTCATGTCATGGATTATTGTGTATGTCAGAAGTCGTCAAGTACCTGAGTTGGACATGATATGACTTAGGTGTAGATGTTCTGACGTGTTTGTTGCTAGATTTGCTTCGTATAAGTAGAGTGCTTTTGTATATACAGATGAGATGACGCGAACCTGAAGTCAAGGGTCTTGCTGTGTGCAGTTACAGATACATAGGCATGCAATATTATAATCCATTTCATCCTACGGCCAAATTTGCATGTTATTATACATAATTACTGTTAAACTTAATTGGTTTGGCTTTCGATTTAGTTGCTTGATGATGTAGTTTCTGTTGATCATAATGCACTGTATATTGGACTGAAGTTTGTCTTAACTTTTGTAGCTTACCTTTTCATGAGAACAAAAACGAAAGAGACAGATGTTGAGGACGATATAGAGGATGAAGTTGTAACTATAGTACAAACAACAGCTGCTGATACTGCCCCTGTCGAGAAACCTCTACCCTCGCCAACCATCAATGAGCCTACTAAGTTGCGAGAACCAATCCTGGAGAGTCAGCAACGCGAGCTTTTCAAGTGGATATTGGAAGAGAAAAGGAAGATCAAGACAAAAGATCCTGAAGAAAAGAAGCGCATTGATGAAGAGAAAGCTATTCTTAAGCAGTTTATTCGAGCAAAATCTATTCCAGGCCTGTAACTGGTAAACAACTGTCGTCAAAGTATATAGAGTACCAAAAGAAAAGAGAGAATTTTCTACTTTTTGAAACTTCATCTTCTTTGTTTGTCATCACATTTTGCACATACTTTTGTTTTTTTTATCAATGGACGTTCTTTTTCTCTTTACAAATTGCCATATCTGAATAAATGGTGTCTGGAAAAATTTTAAGTTGCATCTGGTACAGAAAGTTGTGGAATTTGCTGTTGCTTAGTTCTAAAAGGCCAGTCATCAAGTCAATTAGCAAAAAGTTTGTTCCTTACAAGTCACTTATCCGATTTAGGAGCAGAACTACTACTACTGAAAGCCTTAAAAATATGTATTTATCATGAGTCACCTTACTCCTTTGAACCAGAAACTAGTCTAGTGGGACAAGGTTGTGGATTCAACGGGCAAGTGCCGATATTCGATCAAACTCGTGAAAAACCAGCAAGCATGATCTCCTTGTTCATAGAAAATAGGGAAGAACGCCATATCAAGAAGATCCTAGAGAAGTTCTACTTTAGGTTGGTTTATTTTATTTTTCCTCTGTCCGACATTCTACCTTCCAATGACGTTTTTGGAACGGTGACTAATACCAAACCGTCTCTTTCCTTGTCATGTTTCTTTGTCTCTATTGCTCAATATCATTTTCTCAGGAGTAATATATACATACATATATGCATGCATATATATAATATTATAATTCTCATTTGGTACCCAATTGCAGAAATTATAAGTTGAGCATATTCTCCCATCTTTTTAACTCGTGGAGATTCACATGGAGCTAACAGAAAGCATGAACAATTTCCAAAAAGGATGTGGACATACCATCTGTGCATTCTAAGAAAGTCCCTCCAACATGCAGGCATCCCCCTACCCCAAAAACCAACGGCAACTATATTATATATATATATAT